GACGGTGCAGGAGGGGAAGGCCTTCTATGAGGTTAATTCATTCAGTGACTGGGGTAATCAAGATGGGTGTATCGGAGACAGTGCGATTGGCACAGGACTGAGCAGAGTTTAGGGCTGTTGTACATAGGGTCGCTATGAGTTGCAAGCGACTCGACGGCACATAACAACAACATATATTGATATTAAGGATTTGTTCTTAATGTGGTTTACTTTCTAGTTTATATAGTAAGGCTTACTGTATTTTAGTGTACATTTCATTAACTAGGTTACTTTCTTAGATGACACTTAAGATAATAACAAATCATTTACTTCAAGGTAAGGAAACACTTGGTTTTACTAGATGTGTCAATTTTAATAAGTTTTGATTGTATCATATTTTAAGTTAGGATATTTATCTGTTTTTGTTTCTTTGTTAGTGTTTTGTACTGTACAGTTAGAACAGACCAATAGCTGATCCTCCAAAGAGTTTTCAGAGGCAGTAAACTGTACAAGAGGATACCATGTACCTTCGAGGAGCTGTGCTGCTAACTCAAAGACACACAGTTCGAATCCACTGGCTGCTCCACAGTAGAAAGAAGGGTGGTCTCTTCCTGTGTGGTTTACTGCCTCTAAACATCTGCTGGAGGGTCAGCTATGAGTCACTTTCAACTTGATGACACAAAACAATAAGTTCTTTTCCTTACGAGATATTTTTTAACATCTTCTCATCCATATTTGTCCTATTCTACAAGAAGATATGGTAATTTTAAACAAGTTAGACCACTTCCTATCTCCACAATTTTTTTAAAATTAATTTTAATGAAAGTTTACAGAGACTTAGGGTTTCCATTCATTCATTGTTGCACTTTTCTTCCTGCCCACCCCCTCCCCACAATTAGCTCTTCTCTTTGAAAAGTAAAAGAAAAATTATTTCATTGTGAAACAGTCCCTCCCCCCAAGTCCACACCACTATACAGCCTTTATTCTGGACTCCTGTCATGACAATAATACCTAATCAAATACCTCTTTTAAACAGTTCTCTCCTCATCTGTTTCAATGCACTATACATTATTTATCCCATCTTTCTCAGTCTTCCCTCAACCCTGATGTCAGTCCTGTTTTATAACAATGGCCCTATGCAATATTTGTCCTTTTGTGACTGAGATATTTCACTCAACATAATGTCCTCCAATGTCACCCATTTTGTATACTATTTCATGAGTTCCTTGTTTTTCAATGCAGCATAGTAGTCCATTGTGTGAATATAATAGAGCTTCTCTGTTCATTGCTCCACAATGTTTTAATTTGTGAGTAGACAGTCCAGAGGAAGAAGACTGAAAGTTAATCCAAAATAAGAAAGGAGAGAACTTGTATTCATTATAAAATAGCAGAAGTGTATCTTTTGAGTTAAAGAAATATATATGGAAATGAATTTGAAAACTTATAAGGACTTAATCTTTTTAATACAAAGCCAGTATGTCAAAATTTAAGTACTACAAGTTGTTATTATTGTTGTTGATTGCCTTCGAGTCGAGCACAACTCATAATGACCCTATGACAAAAGGCCTGAAGTCCCTCTACAACTATCAACATTTATCAAAGTTCATAGAGTTTCTGGAGGCATGTTATTTAGGAAGTGTATGCCACTCCTGCTTTGAAAGCTGTCATAGAATGTTATTGGTAGCTGCCTGCCTTACATAGCAACCCTATGTATAGTAGCTCTTAACCCTTCCCTGTTCTCAGCCAGTCTCACTAATTCCAACATACCAACCACCATTGCCCCAGTTACTGTATCAGTTCATCTCATCTGGGGTCTCCCTCACCTGCTCTATCCTTCCACCCTTCTGAGCATGATGTCCTCCTCCAAGGACTGATTTCTCTTGGCCACGTGCCCAAAGTAAGTGAAC